CATTTATACAATACATTTTATACAATACATATATTCGTCATTTTATACATATAAGTCTATCAACTAACAAAGATAATGTGAAACATAAAATTTCTTTTAATATTATTCATAATGACGTTGATCGCGATGTCGTAAACTGTCCCCGAATTGACATCCTTGTTACGTTTATGCGGTTGAATTTTGGAAATACAACCTTTGTATCGAATTAATTGATATCTACGTTCCAGATCCGATATGCTACGATACGGAAACTAAAAATTTCGATGCAAATATCGAATATCAAAAGGGGTAATACGATATTTCAAAATATTGATATATCGGAACATCCCTAATTCCAAGTGAAACGAACAAGCAAAAAAAAAAGAAATTGTCTGTATTTCGTCTCTGTTCCAGCATATTTATTGCACACCCACTAAAAAGCAATCTATATTTATTCATTAAAATATTTATTTATTCATTTTTATATTTATTTGTATATTTATTTTTTCATTTAATTGTTTTATTTAAATAATAATAAACAACAATTTATTTAAAGGATTACTCAAACATAACAGCGTATCTTCAACAATTGAAATTAAAAAGTATGTACAAAATAAATCAGGGCTTAGAAAGGTTCCTTTCAGGAAAATTATCTACATGTGACGCACTCCAAGAAAAGCATTTTCAATTTTTTTCTTGGAATCTTCCCTTGGGATCTCACCGGACATTTGCCCGATTGTCCGGTGGACCAGTCCTTCTCTGTTTTCAGCAAGTAGACAATACAGTATAATATAGTGAATCGTTATATCCTTGTTGTTTGCCAATGTCAAACAAAGATAAAATGATCACTATGTTACACTATGTTGCTTGCTGGACAGCAATATTTAGCAAACAGATTCTAAATACAAGATATGAGTTTTTTTTAGGAAAAATGCAAGATAATCCTTCGTAAATAAAATTTTCATATCCGAAAAGAAAAGATAGAAAAAATTGTTAAAGTTTGAACATAATTAATCTTAAATTTTTACTTCCTTAAATTATAATTTTTTACTATTATAAAAAATAAATTTTATATAATATTAATAAAAAAAAAGTTTACGTCAATAATATACGCAATCAGCAATCTAAAAATTTATATAAACTAAAAATTTATATCTAATAACTTATATCACAAAGTACATTAATTTTTTCAACCACATTGTTGATTTATTGCTTAAAAAAATTTAAAACGATTTATTTTATGAATTAAATGTCATATTTAAAATCAGAATAATTTATATAGATAAGATATATCTCTATACTGTATTTTTCTCAATTTTCTTTCTAATTTGTTTAAATAGTTAGATGTTATTATTTTAATAATATAAATTATCTATATGGCTCAATCAGAATAAATCAGTAGTAAAAAGAATGGGCTATGAGCCAGTTGGCTCATAGCCCATTCTTTTTACTACTGTTATTATTTTGTTATAGTTGATAAGAAGGTGAAAATTGAAAGAATAGTAATTGTCCTTAAAACCACTTATGGGTCAAAATAGAAAGACATGTGTAAAATGTTTCTTAGTTCTACATTTAAGCCAAATTTGAAAAAAAGTTGTACTTGGATAAATTTACTTGTAAGTAAAGCAAAAGTTTATATTGCTACTTATATCGAATATTGAACAGTTGTTTTTCTTGCATGACCCCAAATCCAAATAAAAAAGAATGGTGAAATAAAGTTTGCATATGGAAGCATTTACTTCAATTCATATATCTTGATGATTACGAAATGTAGAAAGAAGTAATAGAATTATATATGCTTTTTTTTATTGCATATATTCGAATTTTACTGGATCAATGTTGATTGCAGAAGTTTTAATGAAAACGTTTACTGTTGTATTGTTCAAGCATTTAATCGTAATCCTACGTTTATATATGTGAAATAGTGTAATAATCTATTATTATAAATTCATATTAGTGAAGATAATTATTATTTTCTAACCATACATTTTTAGAATTTCATAGACTAGACAGAGTACAGTCACGTAAAGTGATTATAAAACCATTTCGAAAATTATGCTCGGGGAAATAATCAAGAATCTGTAATGTATATCCCTCTCTGTGATCCTCCTTGAGTAAAAAATTATTGTACCAATTCAATTTGTTAAATAATAATGGTGCGTGAAATAAATATCATATACATATGTATTGCATCAGCATACATAAAGCTAACAATAAGTTATATGTATGATAAAAATCACGTAGACAATGGAAGTATCGCAATATAATTATAATAAAATTATAATAAAAAATATGGTATAATAATGTAAAAAGTGTGGTATAATAATGGTGCTCTAATTTTTTATATCATTGCTTTGGCGAAAAGGTAACGTTTATTTATGAAATTTGAGTGCAGTGCAGAACTATTATTATGAATAACAGTATTAAACAAAATCGGATGAAAAAGATGTATTATAGAAGAAAGTTGTACTCCATAATATTATTGTTATATTCTCAAGTTCTTTTGTTGATAGAATTGTTAAATATGTTGCAATTACATAAAAAATATAACATATACTACAGGATAAGTTTATTTATTATAATTCTGTATTATAATAAATGTCTTATACAAATATACTGTAATACTTTATTCTAATATATTGTATTAAATTTTGTCGATATTTAAACAAAATTTTTTTTATTGTAATCTTAGATAAGATATACCATCTAATGCGATATAATATATACACACACTATTATAATTATATCTAATATATTATAGATAATCATATGTTTCTATCACTGCAGATATAAAATTATTTATTTATCTTGTATTTTTATAATGCATTTTAAAGTAAAGTATTTTATTGAATTGTTATTATAAATTGGTATTTCATTTTTTATATTAAAATTTTATTTTTACTTTCTAATATAAATAGTTGCTTTTCTTACTTTATTATTAGATATCTTACGATGGTAACTCGTAATACAAAAATTTATCTGCATTACATGCATGCAAAAAGATGATAGTTTGAAAATGATAATTTAATAGACGCGCACCTTGAAGCGCGTCTATTAAATTATCAAAACGAACCTTGAGCATTTCAGTAAGCATTTATTACGTGGCTCGGCAAATGAACTGGTACTTGTACCAAAAACGTAGAATATGTCCAGATTATTGAGAAGATTTAAACTTCGAATCGCGATCATTTTGACGAACAGTTCATGCCGAGCCGCGTAATAAATGTTTACTGAAATGAAGTTATGAAGTTGATTATATAATAATAGTATTATTAATTTTTCTTATTTAATACATAAGTACAGATTAAGTAAATGATCATTGATGACAAAAAGTTTTCGAATATGTTAAGACCTCGTGTCATTATTTGTCAGAGAAAAGGATTATCACTCCTTATCATGGTCGTATCGTGGTCATCATCGCAATTAGTGATCGGCGAATTATGTATTAGTTGCTGCTTATAATATGACTTTAATTACATTAGGAAAACATTTTAACAACTTTTACCTGTCAAATAATTGCATTTTATTAATAATTTTAACGAATAATACTTTTAAGGCTTTCAGGATGTTTTCTTCAACAGTGCCTAAAGGATTTACAGATTATTGCCGTGTTGTGATCCATTACTAATGCCATCACTTCGTGGTGCCAAATTGGCATCAAACTCGATCAGATTTTGACTACAAAATCATAGCTATCTGTGTCCGTATTTGGCTATGAATTTTTCGACAAAGACTGCTGACAGGCTATGCCAGCAGATTGGTGGCGGAAATCGAGCAGAGTTTATTTGAATCAGGTTCTGCTCTCAATCTGCTCTCAATTTATCATCAGGTTATGCAGGACTTTGTTCGGTTTCTGCTACCAATTTACTGGCAAAACATGTCTAGCAGGCTTTGTCATATTTCTGACAACAATTTGCTGACAATTTCAGATAATACAAATTCTGTACAAATTACAATTTATTGCCTTTCTGCAATCAAAAATTAGTAGCAGGTTCTGCTCAAAATCTGTTTCCGCATGTTTTGTTATCAGAGTTTTCAAAACAAAAATTTGTGTAATTTTGAAGAAGAAAATACTTATTATAGCCTCACCTACATGTATTCATGTCTATCTCTAAAACTACATTAAAAAATTCTACATTTTAATTTTATTATTAAGTGTAAAATTGTTTTATACGTTGAACAATAAAAGGAGGGGGCAGAATCAACAAAATGCTTGAACGATTTATTTTGATGAACTTTATTTATTTATCTGTTTTTCGTAAAGTCAATTTTAATATAGAAATGTAAGATATGACTATTTTACTAAATATTTTTAATGATAAAATGTTTAAAGAAAAAATTCTGTTTAAAGAAAAATTCTGTTTAAAGAAAAAGTTATGTTCGGAAATTCTACGTTTTGCTCCACTGTGCAACTCCTCATTTATTATATTCTTAAAAGAAAGTGAATTATAAGATATTTACATCTCATATTATATTTGTCTAACTTTTGATAAATATTAAAATACGAATACCAATTTTGTAGAATGTAGATCACGTGAATGTACAATATGGACAGCTGCTATTATATGTCTAAATTCCGTGAAATCAATATGAATCATTCGAATAAATTCAACTTTAAGAGATTAATCATTATGGAATTATTTCGTGTATAATTACCGGTTATTCATATATTATAGCACATATATGAGAGCATATTATAGCATCGTTTCAAAATTGGCTTGATTAATGCTCTCGCATGTAAATAATGTGAATAATGTGAAATCAGAATATTAATCATATTTTTTGGTCTTATTCAATTTTGCGTAATGAGAGAATTAACTTACAATTAGTTATATTAAATTTGTTTCAAGGAGCGAAATTATAGAATTCTTTATCAATTGAATACTTTATCAGTAATATTAATATGAAGAAAGAGATTAAATTTGTTTCAAGGAGCGAAATTATAGAATTCTTTATCAATTGAATACTTTATCAGTAATATTAATATGAAGAAAGAGATTTTAGATTATCTTGAGGTTTGTTAATAACATTTACAAGAAATTAAATATTAGTTCATGCCTTTATTGATAATAAGCTTTTGTTGAGCTTTCGCCTAGGTCCTGCTGGTTGTCAACATCTTGGAGACATTTTGGGAGTTCCAGTATTCACAGTGCTATATATACAAAAATAAAAACACTTTTATTATACAATTCGAAATCAAGTTTTGAATTAAATCTACTCAGATTTGATCGATACAGCCGATTCGATAATCTCGGGTACTAATAAATCGATGAATCGCGTAAATATATCCAGCCGGTCTCGGAAATCATACACAAAATAACATAATAATAAAACAATAATAAATGGTTAATTTGATACTATAGATAATACTACATCTTCTAATTAGGCTTGAGAGATTTCCTAACAAATATTTTTATATATAAAAATATTATATAAAAGACTAACAAAAATATAACGCTATGATAAAATTTGGAAACAAATTGTGAAAACATATTTCTTTAGCAAAATAAACATTTATGTGTTAAATTAACTGTAGAACGATACATTGGATATTGCACGCAAGACTTTTTTTTTTTCAAAGATTGATATTTCTATAACTTTAACTTTAACGATTGACTAATCTATTTGGCAAATTTAAACATGCTAGTACATTCTTTTCCTTTGACAAAGAACAAGAGATACCCGATAAAAAATTTTTCATGTAAAAAACATACGGAAAAATGAGGGAATCGTGTGCACTTAAAAGGAATTTATTGCTGTGAGGTAGTTCTTGAAGTTGAAATCGAAGTAAGGGAATACAAACCATACACATTCCTCTATCAATATGCATTCTCATATTGAACAATTTTTCATTTGATAATATTGTATTTGACAAAAAATAAAAAAAGTAAAAGCGAAAAAATTTCTCGCGTGACGGGTAATTAAACGCATAGGTTGAGTAATTGTGCGCAAAGCAAAAATCGTAGGAAACTAATGAATAAGATTCATTCCAGTTCATGTTTTATGGAATGTTGATAAGGAAATGAGAAAATATATTTATTAAGACAATGTTAATAAAAATCTAATATAAATTTTATAATAGAAAAATAACACAAAAATTGGGAAAATTAATTATTTAAACAAAAATTGCATATGAAATTCTCAGCGTCACTATCAGCTTCACTGCATTTTTCATGGACCTATATATTCAAAACATAGGCGGAATTAAAATCACTCAGTCGACACAAACTAAAGTAACAAAATGTCAATGTTACAATTTTGCACTCTACAATATCACTGCTATGTAACACTATCATGTGTTATATTACATTTATATTGTGGAATATGAAATTATAACATGGATGTCATGTTACTTTTAATTTGTCGACTGGGCAGAGTTCCATATCTTCCGAATTTATTGCAAATGGCGCATTTTTCATTGGGAGGAAATTTCGAATTGTCCGTGCGTACAATTTTCAGCCGCAAATTGATTTGATAAGAAAAACGCTCAAAGCCTTTTTAACTTAATTCAACGAATAATAGCTCAAAAGAGATAATACTTTAGTATAAGATATATGTATGATTAAATAAGCAAAATAAGAATACGGATTTACAGTCTTATTTTTTGAATGTCCAAATTACTATTAAAATATGTAATTTCATTTTTTCTTGTATTTGCCGTTAACTACATTTTTAAATTATATAACTTATGGTTATATCTGCAAAGAATTACCTCTAGCCTAGAAATTTCGTCGCAGTAGCATAAATTTCCATTTATCAGAAAAGTGCTAAATCAAAATATGCACAATTATTCTACTTACCCATATATATAAATATAATATATAAATACATATATAAATATAAAAATATATATAAACATATACATTACATACGAAATATATGTCCATATATCTTTCTTTTTTTGTAAAATTACTGTTTAGTACAAGAAAAATAATATTTAATTATAATAAAAAAAAACATTAAAAAAATTAAAAAATCATTTTTACGTAGTTTCTTTTACAAAAAGTTAAGTCTAAAATAATGAAAAACAGTTATTTACATATAATTATATATAATGATTTATCCCTTTAATTATTTTTTATGTTTTCCCATTATTATCATTATATTTTTTGTATTAAATAGTACATTGACATTTATTGTTTATTAAATAGTAATTTCATAAAAGAAAGAAGGATATATGTAGATATATAACTATATTTCGTATACGATGTTTATATGTATTAACTATTTATATCTTCTTATATGAAAAATTTATATATTATATATACACGAGTACATATTTATGTTCTTACATAAAATATATTTTCCGGGTAAAATCAACAAATAATTTTTAAATAATTTTTAAATGATTGAAAATTCAAAGTTGGTATGCGATCCATACCATCTCATAAAGTAAAAAAGTTACACAAACAACACCCATCACAGTGTGTCGTTAGCGTAATTTTTTTATTTTATGAAATTATAAGTTACTATAAAGTCTGCAATTTTGTTTATAAAATATTTTTTAAGTAACATAGATGTACGTAAATAAATTACATATTAATTTTTAATAAAAATTTAATACTATAATACTCATTATTTTAAAACGGTACACTGAAAGAAAAGATTAGCTGAATATGGCATAGCATTTTTATTGGCTACAGTAGCCAATTAAAAATATGCTACACCGTATTATTTATTACAGCATCTAAATTACTACAGCAGCCAATCTTTTTTTTCAGTGTATAGATTATCTTTGTCAAACACCACTTTACCTTGATAAATAATTATTGTGACAATGTAATTTATAATTCAAAAAAGCGATCGTTCACATGCCGTAAGAAAGACATGCAGTTTTTTAAATTTATATAACAAATTAACAAAGAAACGAAATGTTTTAATTTTTAATAAAAAGAACGTTCTATACCCATAATTGGCAGGATGAATGAGTCTAAGAAAGTTGCAACTTTTGTATATATGCCTGGGAAACTTGGCACAGCGCATCCCAAGCCCCATGAAACTACCCCAACAACGATTATCCTATTATTATATTGAATCATCAGTGGTCCACCACTGTCACCCTGAAAATCATTTCAAATCGTAAGAAATGTACTAATAAAATATACTAATATTTATGCAGCACACACACATACACACACAAATTATTAAAGATTTTCTTTTCTTTTTTTAAATGTTACAATTAGTTTTAAAAATTAATCATTAATTAAATTAATAATTTATAACGAATTTGTTTCCTAATATATATTATATATTAACATCATTAAATAAAAAAATAATGTAAATGTTCACAATAGAGATTCGGAAATTGACAGAATTACATTCACCATACACACGCGCGTGCGCGCGCGCACGCACACGCACGCATATTTATGAAGTAATTCATAGTAAAAATAACACTGAAATGATATTAATAAAAAGGTAAAATTTAATTTAAAAATAATTTAAATTAAATACAAAATTATCGAGTTAATCAATTACAGTGCACAGTGTAGGTATGTGTATGCACATACATATACATATAGGTATATATATAAATCAAGAATTCTTAATTTCTTTATTAATTTCTTCATTTGTCTGTTAAACTATTTAGAGAGAGATAAAGATATGATGTGTAAACCTTTCATTAATTTTTTTATTATAATTTTTTTATTTTCTTTCTCTCACCTGACAGGAATCTTTTCCAAGTTTTCCTGCGCATACAACGCGATAATCAATGACTGAATTCTCCATTCCCTCAACTCTGCTGTAATTAGTTTTGCATTCTTTCTCCGAACATATAACAACTTCTGCTTGCAAAAGTACACTGCTTTGCTCTCCCTCTGAAAAACAAATACAGTTGGAGCAAACTTTAGCATTTTTAGAATAAAAAGATTATTGTATTTTTATTATCAGATTATAATTAGGCAAGAATCAATTCATTCCACAAATGATTAACAATAAGTAATTATTACTTACCGTATGATGTACGTCCCCATCCAGCGATGATAGCCTCCTTTCCCTCTAATATCTTATTTTTCATATCGCCCAGCGGAAGACAAGCGGGAACAAATCTTGCTGAAAGTTTATAAAACCTATTAATCTATTATATTACGACAGAGAAAAGAATTTGTGTCCTAAAATATGTAATATTTAATTCTAAAGATTTTTGTAACATAAATCGACACACGCGTAATAATTTTTAAAATTTTATCGACTTTATAAATTTAATATCTATTTTAATGTACTTTGTATGTTTATAGAAAAGATATGATTAACGATAAGCTCTGCAAGTTTGTGTATCTGGATGTAATCATACATTCTAATTTAAGAGTGAAAGAAGAAGGATAATAATTAAACACGCGACTTTTACTTCTATATTTACTCTTCACGAGAAACGATAATATCCATCATATAAGATTCATATAGGATTTGAATGACTAGTTTGTAGGAGATCAGGTCAAAAGTTAATAACCAATCCTCTAAGAGTGGAGCCTTGTTAAATCACTAAAAACAAAGTAATTTTATAGAATTTTTTTTGAAGAAACAATGTAGCGAATTCTTTTAAAGATTTTCAGTGTTTTATTACACATTTCTAAGTAAAGAAAAAACTTTTTGTTAAAAAACAATTGATTTAATTTATAGAGCCCATAACAAATATTGACACAGCTCCTTGCCGGAGTTGTGAATGCAAGAATTATAATGCATTACGTACTCTGAGGCAATAATACATAATAATTACTTATTTTTTATGACATTACTTTTTTAATAAAAATCAAGAAAATAAGAAAAAGATTGAAAATTAACAAAAAGGAAGCACTTTAAAAAATATTACAACTTTACCAAAGAATTTTATTTTATTTATGCAATAAAAAAATAGTTTAAATTAATTATTTTATTAATTTTATAGATTCAGCGATGAATGTATTTGATAAACTTCATGTATTGCATCGGTACAATTTGATTGATCAACAATTTCTGAGTAATCTCTTCTACTAATTTAAAAAAAATGGTTTTAAGAAAAACGCATTTAAAGTTTTTGATATCGAAAAATAAAAATTATATTATCATAAGGCCTGTTTCTTATTCTTGCACTAGACTGCACTAAAATTTTCTTTTTTGCTTCCGCCAAATACCAAACATATATCTATTTCGCTTTAAGTTCCAAAAGTGTATACTAGTTCAGAAAACAGATCTATATATAGACACATTCAAATAAAGAACCTCATATACTTGCGTGCAAAAAATTGACTGAGATTCTTTAAAACTTTGTATTTCGTTCTGTAACTTTAGAAATATATTTTTTACATGTTTATACTGTTGATTAAAGCAAAAAAATTTTAGGATTTTTTGAACCGGTTACACGAGACTCCCTTTTCAAAAATCTTGTGTGGTAAAATTTAACTTATTTTTTATCTTTTATCTCATACCAAACGAAATTTTTTTATTTAATAAATTTTATATCACGCGATTTTGCTTAATATATAAGGAGAATATTGCTTCTTATTCCTTCAAAAGACAAATATAATTTTGAAAACAAAATAGAATAAATATAAAAACTTACATGGTACGCTGAAAAGTGTTTTTAAAATAGCTATATCGTTCTCTTGGGTGTCGCTATCGTATTCGGGATGGATCTTTATACTTGTTATCAAAACGTTGTATGGATCTGTACCGTCGTTATCGTCGTATAAATTTAAGCCACCAATGTGCGCGAGGCGCAACCCAGTACCATAACAACAATGAGCGGCGGTGAGAATATGTTTGTTGGAAATCAAAGTGCCACCGCATATCGGCTGCAGCATATAATTTGCAAGACTGACCATCCAAGGATATTGACCTGCAAAATTAGTCTACTATATTAATAGCTGTAACAATAATCACATGTTGGAACAAATACTAATAAACTACATTTATAATCTTTTTTATAATTGAAAAAAAATAAGTACTATATTTTAATTATTAAATATTGAATTTTATAATTCTATCATAATCTATTAAAAACGAAATGTATAATAAGTTATTTATATTTCTCGAGATTAATTTACTGAAAAAAGTTTTTATTCTCAATTATTTGTATTACAAAACAACGCTGCAACATTATTGCAAGAAAAAATATAACATTGATAAAAAAATACTCCTGCAAAGTATTTTAAAAATAAAAAAAGAATTTTAAAGTTTCTATGATAAATTGAGACAAATTTCTTTGGAAAAAATTTTGAATTTTGTAATAGTTATTTTGTAACAGTTATTTGATAAGCAATTGAAAAATGTGTTGTGACTTTAAATCAAGTGATGGGCGAAATCGAGCAAGATCGATTGTGAATGGAAATTGTGAAAATGATCAGTTATTAAATAATAGGTCAAATAAATGATCGATTTTGTACAATTGGATATTTCAATAAAAAAAATAAGCGATATTCTGCAAAACATCGGAGAAAAAATCGATTATCGGATCATAATCAATAATACTCGCAAAAATTCACAAAAGCGTGATGACACTTCTACTGGCTCAAACAAATACTACAAGCAAGTTAGGTCATGGCACATAGAAAAACTTAAGATGTTATACGTGGTCTACAATGGGCAGTAGTAGTAGTAGTGGATTAAAGAGTAGGCATAGAAATCAACCAATCATAGTCGAATGTGAGGAGGATAATCAACTATGATTGGTTAATTTCTATGCCTACTCCTTAATCCACTATTGTTACTGCTCATTGTAGATCACGTATAAAACGATGCTAAAATGAGATTTTGCTGTGTAAAACTCAAGCTAAGTCTCCAGTCGTATAAAATTAATCATTTACAGTTGAATGTGGAAAGAATAATTTGACTATACGATCGGTCAATTTCTTATGATTTAAGGCTTATGTTTTACATTTTAAAAGTCTCATTGTAGACGTCGCTTTAGACTTAACCAGTAAGGCCAGTAAGCGAATCGACCAATCACAATAAATAAAATCATATAATTGGTCGATTAGGAGCATTATAGAGTATATCTAGTATTATCTAGTATAGATAGACCGAGCATGCTGCGCAAAACAGCCGGCAGTATACTATGCGTGCTTTCCAATAAGCGACACAGTGCGACACAGTGATCATGTCATCTTTGTTTAACATTGGTAAATAACAAGAATGTGACAATAACAATGTGTAATCTATTGTGTCACACTGTGTCATTTGTGTCGCTTGTTGGAAGGTACACTATGTCGTCTATGGCCCGCATTCAGAGAACGCGCTTTTATCTCTGAAATATATATGCGTGATGTAAAGTATAATAGGTATTAACACGCTAGCATCGTTATAAGTTGTAAGCGCGTTCTGAATACGGGTCTATGTCTATGGTGAAACCGACCCTTAGGACTATGGCAGAGAACGCGATGTAACGAGACGCAACGAGACGTAGTCGTGATGTGGGATAAGACAGAGAAAAATATAGAAGTCGCAGTCACGACTGTGACTTCTACGTTTTTCTCTGTCTGAATCGAATCTAAAAATTGAATGTTCGATTCAGCTGGGATTTCAGTCTGAAATAATTGGACAACTCATTAATCGAGATGAAATATAGGGAAAAAATTCGATTGTCTCTACAAAGTCCATCAGACTTTGATTAATCGAAGCAACATTGCCCATCACTATTTGAATGCTTTTCCATAATGCAAAAATTATTCATACCTGCTTTAGCTTTCTCGCCACCAACGATTTTGCTTACCGGCACATTACCGATTCCGCACTGAGGTACAGACTCAGAATTGGATGCAAAATTCGTGCTTTGACGAAACTCTCGATTGCTTTTCAATCCGATGGTACTACCTATAATAATAATAATAATAATAATAGTAATAATAATCTTTATTGGTTGGCCTATTGGTCTAAAGCCAAGGGACTTTTGATTTACATTAGATTCTTTGATTCTTCACACATTCTCATATTCTCCCCAATTTTTCTCATACAATTCACCGCTCCCTTCTTTCCTTCCTCCCCTAAATTTCTTTATTCGTGTGTATAGAAATATGCGTATCCGCATGTTTCGAAGTACGCTGTATGCTTCTTAACATTCGCGTCATAAATCAATACGTAATCCGACCGTAAACAAAGCTGGGTCATTAGATCAGCGGTTTTACGCTGACAATATTTCATGTGAATTAAAATAAACATATAGATGTAGTTGCAATTCTAGGATACTGTATAAATCGCTTGTTTATTACTTGTATTTGAACCGCAATATTCGCGCGCTCTCAAATACTCTCTTTCATTTTCGGGATTACAGTGAGCAGAAGCGTTTTAATATTTTTTTGTGTTAATAATACATGCGAATGCCGCATGGCAAATTATGGAGTTACAACAGTAATTATGCAGTTCTCATTGGACCTGTATTGTAGCGGCTGTTAATAATAATATAATGAAATTTAAGCTGTACTTTTAAGTTAAACAACTTAAATTTAATTTGATAACATACCATTAAATTTAATATATCTGAAACTGAAAAATATATTTGTGTATTGGACATGAAATGTAATGTACGTTTCACAAAATTTTATGAAATCTAATGTATTTTTCATAAAGTTTTATGTGAATTTGCATGAAATTTAATGTACAAGTCATTACATTTAAGAAGAGACTACTGTAACTTAGATTTCAGTTAAATCGTTCCTTACTTTTCAATTAAATCTTGATCACAAACTTCTATTATATGTTATTTAAATTCATTATGTAATTTCTAATAATGTACTATTGAATAAATAAACTATTATATATTTGTGACCAAGATATTCGGTCCACAGACTATCGCTTTTTAACTTCCTTTTTCTTTATATGTTTTACAATTAACTTTTTGTAACATTTTCCGATCATCTTTTTCTCAAACATATCCAAATAAGCAAAAAATAATTATTACAATGTTATTACAACTATTGTCAATATCATATGATGTTTTCAAATATGTTTTTTGTATACAATGTTAAATGTGTATGTTAATATTGTATACAACATTATTATGAATAAATTTTGACACTAATTCAGAGGTTTTGATAATGTATTATGAGAAATATCATGATTCAGAAATATCATTTTACAAATGATATCGTGCTAATATTGAATCAACATATCAGAACGTACGTTAAATTGTAACATTGTAAAATGAAGATTCGATGTTGAAAAGACTATTCTAGAAACGTTCAATGTTCGTTGAAGTAATGTCTTGCGGATGTTACAATTCAAAATTCGAGAATAATATTGATTCTATATTATATAAACGTCCAAGAACATTAGATTCCTGAAATAATTTTTACACTAAAATTAAACGAAATACTTCAGAAGCGCCAAACCTTTGCAGGTTATCACCTTGTTGTAATCCACTGTTAATATCAATGTTTCGTGAACCTTGCCATTCACTTTATCAAGGCGAAGAGCGCACCGATACGCGTGGAATACTCGTGAAAGCCTCAAAAGTATTAAACGAAATACTTTTAAAAAATTACATTTTATTTATTTTAATTTATTTGTAACGATATTACTTTTATTTTTAAGCTCTTGGATCTTCTAGAAATCATTTGATTACAAAATAGATAAAGAATCTTATAATGTTGCGCCCTTATTCTACCTGTAATTTTTTATTTACAAATATATTGGTACTTGTTAGTGCATGTTTAGAGTCCTACATCTTAAAATATAACTTTATTTAAAGGAAAATAATAAGATGGTGATTGTATGAATTACAGACAAGAATTAAATAAATATTTTATAAAAATGTTTTGTGTTGTTATGTATTTCCGTAATTATAACAGCTTATTGATTTTTACAAGGAATTTGAAATTAGAAAAAAATTAATATGAGATATGTCATCAAAAATTATACGACTGCGATTGCAACAAAATACTGCATCTCATTATTTACGTGTATAATCAATTATATTGTGCAATGGATATTATATTATGCATTAAATACTTGCGCGGAAAAACATGATTTTCAATCATTAAAATACTAGTTACCATCTCGATCATATTCTTTGAAAAAATATTTGTCATAAACGCATCTTAAAATCCGATGACTTGTTCATAATGAGTTTAAAGCATTTCAATGATGATTCATTTTATATAGTTCATCTTATATATATATATATATATAATTGAATGCGTTTATAATATAGATACGCGACAACATACGCTAAATAGATACGTTTGCTGATATGATCGTGTCAAATATTTGAACATATATCAGAAGAAAGAGAGGGAGGGGCGGTTCGATGCTTTTCTCAAAATCGAACTAAAAAAGAAGAAAATATAGAATGTTAATGTATAGTAACAGAATCAATTTTTACCAATGGCCAAACTACATATTTAAAACTCTCGTTCTATTGATTTGAAGAATCTGGCTTTAATTATGTTCAAACAGTTCTACGCTAATATTGTTATAATTTCTCAGTAGTCTAACGGAAAAGTAGCTTAACAGAAAAATAATTAAAAAAATAAAATGATCTATCACGATCGAAAAGACATCAAAACAATTGTACAAAAAGAGAGCCGTAAAAAGTCAGCGCGATAATTGGAGTGCAATACAATTTTTTCAAAACTAATTACAATTTAATATATCAAATTTGCGAATACAAATATATATACCGCTCAGATAGATTATATATACCGAAAAGATATTATTTTATAATAATACCAGCATTATGATGCTAGTATTAGTATTATGTAAGTATCGCAACACGGAAAACATATACAAATTTTTAAAATATTAATACGGATTAATACTGTAAATAGTAGGTATGAAAAATGTTTATCTATAAAGGTAAACATATTTTTTTATATGTTATTATTCTGATATATTCATCTACGAAAAAGAAATTAAACGAAGAATCTGACTAGAATGGAATAATCATAGGTTTTTACACACACAAAAAGATTGTGAAAGCATACCTTCAGAAGGCGGTAATAATGCGCACAGCAAACCGACGAATACTAATATAATAGTTTTCATTATGAATCACTTGTCCAGGTATCCTAAAAATGCAAATGTATTATATTACTTTATTATTTATTAATAGATATATTTATAAATAAATTATTGGAATCTAAAGTAGAAGCCACATGAAATGTGGATTCTATTTTAGGATACAAAATATCTTGTATCATACATATTTTATTAAGGAGCATAAAAATATTGTTTTTTATTATAAACAAGAAAATATGAAAAAATAAAGAAAGCAGTGAAATTCGATTTAAAAAATTAATGGGCGGAGAGAGGCAAGAAGAAAGAATCCAAATTTATATCGATAAAAAGATACATCAGTAGTCTATTAGAACAAAAATTCGTAGCGAACAGTATTTTAATTTAAAATTCGAACAGCTGAAACTTCATTAAAAATTAACAAAATTTAAATAAAAAAATAGGGTCTTTTAAAATTTAAAAGCTCGTTACTTTCGAAAGGTCACTAAATCTTTTGATTTTCTGTGAGTTTGATAATTTTTACATGAAATTTTTATATGAAATTTTTACATAGAAAACTACTCAAAATGGGAATTATTCTCTTCTCACTTTGTAGGTCTGTCACATGGCAAAAAAATTTATAAAAATTTTAGACTTTTTAATGTAAAAATTCAAAATTTTCTGTACAAAATCGTTTTCAAAAAATGTTCTTAAGATTTCTTAATACTGAGTTATAGTTAAATGCATGAAGTATTTTGCTTTGATAGTTCATAGTTCCATTAAAAATCATCGTATAATTTAATTTAATAAAAACAAATTCTTAACTTTGCTATATTGAATTGCCAAAGTTTTTTCAAAAACATGTAGATACGAAAACTAAAGGAAAAATAAAGGACATACACCACGAACGCAAGATATTCTTAGCGATTAGTTTATACTTGATTTTAAAACATATAATTGAATTATAAAAATTATAATCGAATCACATAAACGTTTCGGCCTTGAATTAGGCATAAGAATTTCATAAAAATTTTTTTACACGTAAACGTACAACTAATCTAAGTTTATTCATCTCCTAACATGTCTTATTATTATGCAAGAACGTTAGGACATACACCACGAACGCAAGATATTCTTAGCGATTAGTTTATACTTGATTTTAAAACATATAATTGAATTATAAAAATTATAATCGAATCACATAAACGTTTCGGCCTTGAATTAGGCATAAGAATTTCATAAAAATTTTTTTACACGTAAACGTACAACTAATCTAAGTTTATTCATCTCCTAACATGTCTTATTATTATGCAAGAACGTTCGTTAACTAAAATTGTTTTTCCTTTTTCTTTATATTGATGTTAGTCCAAAGAGTTTCGAATAATATCCAAAAAAATTCGTGTTTTATTACAATTTTTCCGATAGTCCAAATGTTCGTAATTCGTTGTTAATTGAACGCAAAATTTCCAGATTCTAATGATCACAACATTTCTTGATTAATTCATAATGTTTAAAATTCGTGTTTTGAGTTATAAATTATAAAAATTAGTACCTGCGTTCCAGTCAACTTATGAGGATTAATATCGAAAGTAGATGACTTGTTGTAACAAAGAACTCGTTAAAATGTTCTGCCGAATTCTTATCATGATACACGGTTTTACTATATATACCCAACATGTGTCGAAGGAGAAGGTAAAATGGTATTATGTAGAGGGAGTTATGCTAAGCAACGGAAAGTATGTCTCTGGTAATTTTTCCGTATCACTCTACTTGTTCAGATCATCAATTTGTTTTTTAACAAAAAAATTATTTCCGACGTGATTCTTTTTTGAAAAAACAGTTCTGTATCTAATACCTGAATATTATTCCAATTTATTTAGTGACCACATTTGATCTGATGCTGTGATAATACAGTGAGAGAATCTTTTGATTTTTTTATATTAGTTTTATATTCTTTGATTCTCGTTTTTGCTTTCCTTTTGGTTTGACCAACATAAGAAGAGTCGCAATCAAGACAGCTTATTTTGTATACCACATCACATTGTTTCATTTTTTTCTAATTTATCCTCACCTAATTTTATGAAACGATTCAAAGTATTCATAGGTTTATACGCTACTTTAAAATTATTTTTTCCTCTATAGTATTAAATTTGTCAGAGATTGTATTCATATATGGTATTATGAAATATTTTTTTCTATTGTGATCAATGGACTCATTATTGTTGACAATATTATTTTTATATAAATTTTTTCTACTTGATAATTTTTTAAATTCTATTATTAATTGTAGAAAAAATTATGTCAAGAGGATAACCATTAATTAGCAGAATGTTTCATGGATTCAATGTTTTTTTTTTGTGATATTCAGGATGTGAGAGAAAAAGAATTCTATCAAGCTGACCGATTATTACTCCTCTTTTGTGTTGAATTGGATGGTTAGATTTATAACTTAGATATCTTCCTGAGTTCGTGGGTTTTTTATACATGTTAAATTTGATACAACTGTCCTCTAATATCACTTTAACATCAAGGAAATTTACAGAATCGTTGTTCCCATGCTTAACAGTGAATCTCAGTCTATCATGATAAGAATTGAAATTCTCAAGTATTTCATTGATCTGATTGTTCAGAACTGCTAATAAAATATCATCCACATATCGATAGTAAATTGGAATGTTGATATTTATATTGAAAAACATATTTTCTTCCAAATCTTGAATTACTAAATTCGCTAAGATTGGCAACGGAGATCCCATGGGCATACCAAAGATTTGTTTAAAAAATTTATTATCAAATTTGAAATAAGTTGAATACTTTTTTCAATGAGTTTCGCAATGTTGTCTGCTTATCAAGTGATTGATTATTACTTATGGATCGGTGGATCCATAAGTAAGAACCAATCGCTCGATAAGTAGGTTGCATTTCGCAACCTATTAAAAAAATTTCATTAAAACATTTTCATTAAAACAATTTTTCTCTCAATATATTAAGTAAGGAATTATTACGTTATTGTACTCACACACAAATGAAAAGATTCAGGAAGACAGTGGTCGGTAGATCAACAAGAGTTCTAACGACGAATATTCTTGAACTTCTGGATTGCTCCCTTTTGATGCATTCATTTTATAATGAACAAAGAAGTAACAATGAGGAAGTAATTAAGTATAATTAACTGATAACGTTACATTTATTTTTTACTATCTTGAGCAAAATGCAAAGTGGAAACATTGTAACACAGGAAATGATCAATAACGAAGTACGTCATAAATTGACCAAAATTTCACTTTATAATAAACAAAGAAATAACAATGAGGAAGTAATTAACAGTTCAATTAACAATGTCATATTTATTTTTTATTATTCCGAGCAAAATACAAAGTGGAAACATAATACAGGAAATAGTCAATAACGATAAGTACGTCATAAATTGACGAAAATTTCGTAATAATTGCGCTAAGATAATTCACCACAACGTAGCACTTTTATTAGAATTAAGTTTTTAAATAATAAAACTTGTTAAAAATTAGACAAATCCGATTTGAGATATTTTATAATTATTTTAAAATTATTTGATTCTTTATTTAAAATTTTGTCACGTTAAATATGTAATATATCATATTTTTACACTAAAATTTAGAAATAATTATGCATTTTTATAAGCATGGATTAACACGATTCCTTTATGCAAAATTATATTTCTAAATGTTTTAAACATAATACAATTAAAATATTTTTTTCGATCGTTAAACAATTTCTTTTTAAATTTAACTTTGCAAATATAATAATAAGATAATTCGCCATTTTATCGTTTTGCCGAAATACTATTTCGAAATTAATTCAACAAACAGTTATTAATATCTATATATTATTAATATTATTACTAATATTCTATATATTTGTAAATATAATTATAAAAAAGAATAGAAAATGTTACATATATCTTATTAAATATCGTAATTATATTGAAGAGTAAGAGAGAAAGAGAGATGACTTTTTGCTTTTTGGAATGGAATTTTTGGACCGACTTTTAGACTAATTGGCAGAAGCTAAATTAATAATTTGAAATTGTTTACGAGAAAAACCTATTTACTTCTAAAAACAGAAAAATAACAATTATTTGCCTATTCAGTCCGAGAAAAGTTATAAAAATAGAGATTTATTATTGATTATGTTGAACCAATCATATAAAATGTTTTTTAAGTTTTGTATTCTTGTCTTTAAAATAAAATTAATTGCACGTTTATATATTGAAAGGTTTATATATTGAAAAAGAATATAATATTAGAAATACCAAAAATGTTTTTGATTCACGTAATACAGGGTATCCCATTTTAATTGTCCAAATATCTCAAAAAATAGTGAAGAGACAGAAAAATGTTTCAGACAAACAGTAGTTATACATGGTTTGAAGAGGAACAAATAATAGTTTCTCGAAAGAAAAATTTTTAGGTTTGTATAGAGATTAGCGCTATATCCTTTTTACATATAATATGATTCCTTTTAATATTATATAATTCCTTTTATTATATTCTATATATAAAAGTAGAAGAAAAGTTGGTATGAGCACTTATCTGATAGTAAACGATAACATAAACTATTTTTTATTGTTGAATGAATAGCGGCATACGTTAGATAAAGTATTTCGAAATTCGTAAATATCGCAGAAAAATATCGCAGCAAGAGTTCTTAAAAAAATAAGTTATAGAGAAGTATCTGCGATTTGTCGTGCAATAATTTTCAGAGTAAAATAAATTTAAAAACTGACCAATTATTTAGATTGCGGTTTAGTAGTTACATTAAGTGCGTTCGGAGATCATTCGATCCTTGTTTTACGTCTAATAAACGATGAAGAGATAGAATGACACAAATAGCGCTAGTAGTGTTTCCCCGAACATACCTAATAATATAAATCGTATTTTTTATTATTAAATAAATAGAAATATATGCTAGATGAAGCGTCCCAAAATTTACAAATCAAATTATTATATATAAAAAATAAATTATAAAAGTATTTGCGATTTGTCGTGCAGCAGTTTTCCGTAACCCACAAGTAAAATAAGTTTAAAAATTGATCAGTTATTTAGATTACGGTTAAATAGCCACAATAATTTTTGAAATACAGATAAAGTTTAAAAACTGGCCGATTATAACGGTGCACGAGGTCATTTAATCGTATTTATATGAGCCAGTTTTTAAACTTTATCTGTATGTAAAAAACTACTAACTATTTAACTGTAATCTAAATAATTGATCAGTTTTTAAACTTATTTTACTTGCACGGAAAACTACTATATAGAACGACAAATTGCAAATAAGTACTTTTATAACTTATTTTTTTAAGAACTTTCTTGCTGCAATATTTACGAATTTCAAGACACTTTATCTAGCGTATATTGCTATTCATTTAACAATAAAAAATACAGTTTATATTATTATTTACTGTCAGATAAGTGCTCACATATCAACTTTTATATAATGCAATAGAACGTTCGGAGAGACGCTATTAGCGCTTTATGTCATTTGATTCTTATTTTACGTCTAAAAAACGATAAAGATAGAATGATACAAATAGCGCTATGATAGAATGATACAAGTAGCATCTCTCCGAACGCATCTATTGTTTGCTGTCAGATAAGTACAAAGGAAACTGAAATTAATAGTTTCGATCAGTGCGTGAGTAATATGCGCTAGAACAGTTGATAAAAAACTAGATATGATGTATAATCCATCACTCCGTTTAGGACACGTGTTTATATGGACTTTTTTACTTGAAATAAACCAAAGAATCGCTCTGTTGAGCATGGCAACGTATTTAACTAACACTCTGTATATATCTTGTACATCGATGTAGAATTAAATCGAGTTGTTCTATGTATATGTTTTTTATAAATGTTATGTGTGTATTTTAAAATATGCAATATATCTATAAAATCATATAATGAATGTAGAATAATCTCGTATTTAAAATTTGTTTTATGTATTTATATAGACAAAAAAAAAGAAATTAAATATTAATTTATTTATGTATGATGAAGCAATTTAATGCTTATTATTATCAAAATAAATATTAATTAAATATTAATTCAAAATTGAACAAAATCAATACAATTCTTGTACATAATCTTCTTGACTAACTCAGTATTAATATTTTGTTATTTTGGTTATTTATAATATAATTTTTACATCATTATTTTGTAATAATAATGGTATTAACCCAGTGTATTTTCTTCTGTATAAATCATTTTAAAATATTTGATACATTGTATACATCACTTGAGTACATTTCAAAAAGAGGCAGATAAGGGAAACCTTAAATTATTGTTTCGAAGTATAATAAATTCCTTACGGAGAAATGTTTCGATATTCACTCATATAGAACAGTTATTGATGCATAATCATCAATTAACGCAGTCAATACAAAAAAATGCATACACTGAAGCCACCTAAATGAAAAAAAATACAAATTATAATTTATTAAATCTTATTTATTGTCAGATATAATGATTGAAATTGAAATTCTTATTTAACACGTTCATAAACTTCAAATTCTAAAAATGTTTCTGAAAAATATTTAAAAAATATGTCTTTGCTAATTGAATCCTTGAGTAAAAAAATTAACCAATTTGTTAAATAATAATGACGCATGATAAATATCATATATCATGTGTTGCATCAACGTAAAGCTAACAATACTTTATATTTATAAAAATAATGTAGACAATGGAAGTATTTCATTATATATGTAGATAATTATTAGAGGAAGGTCATCGATATCGTCATATCACTTTAATTTGGACTTTATTTTTTAAACAAAAACTGAAAATGGAACTTTAGAAATATAAATACAGACTATAGAAAATGCCTTCTTTAAAATAATATAGTTTGCAATAATAAATTTTTCGTATTGAAGGTTGTACTTTATCTTATTTTTATTTTTATGTGAAAATAAATGCTTAGTGTAAAAATGAAAATAAGAGGAACAACCTCCACAACTTGATTTTAACAAATGTTATCCAGATCATGATCCTAAATAATATTCAAGAGATTTTAGCTGTCGGTCGGACACCTTATAATACAGTTAATACCGGCGGTACTGTAACTTTCAAGCTTTATAACTCAAAAAGTAGTTAATAGAAAAACATTTTGTTATAGCGTTTTGAAGAGCTCTTGAAATAAGCTACAAGAATGTGCAATGAAAAATAGGAGGTTCTATTTAAAAAATTCAGTGACCTTGATCTGATCTTATGCAGCGCCACCCAAGATCAAACCAACGGTACCTTCTCGTGTTCCCCCAAGAGGACATTGAGACATCTTATAAGATATCATAAAGATGTCCTCCAGCATCCCCTTAACAGTCATTTTACAATAAACCATTAGTCGTAAATTAGAAGCTGGAAATTGACCAATCACAGTCGTCAATTTTTAGCTCCTGACTTCTGATTTATGACTAATCTTTTATTGGATGTCCTTCAGACATGCATGTTCTCTGGGTTACAACTTTTGTCTGAAATATTTTTTTTTTAAATCACATGATTTCCAGAAATTAGCTGTTTTAATTAAAATGAGACACCCTCCATATGTGTCTGTATTATTATGAATTATTGTATTATACCATCATGATCTTCGTTTATTCTAGTATTAGCTTAATTTATTCTTTTATGATTTTCTACAATTCACAGTGGGTCAGGAGGAGACCGGAAAAAATGACCAAAGTAATCCAATTAAATAAAAATACTCAAATTGTTATCAAATTTAATACTGGGGGGTTTTTGAGGTTGCTGATTTTAAATGCGAACTCAAAATTTAGAAATTCAAAATGGCGGATCTAATATGCCGAATAAAAATGTTAAAAGTCCGACTGTTTAAAGGCTAAAATTTGGCCAAAGTTTAATTTCTAATTCGAGAAAATCCGAACTTCAAATTACAAAATTTAAAATAACTGATCTAAAATGGTAATCAAGAAATAAAAATTTGATTAATTTTTGGATTAAAACAACAATTATATTCATTTCATAAAGTTGATGGTTTTCCAATAGAAAATTGATCGATTTTAATATATTTTCCATATTTTTTTAAATATGAATAAT